GTGATCAGAGTATATGCATGTTGCAGCGTTCGAAGATTGCCATCTCCGTTTACAGGACTATGAGGGAGATGCACGTTGAGCCATCCTATCCCTTTTAGATGCACAAGCACCAATGTAACAAGAGCGCCTGAACTCCGAGCATACCTCTAGCCCTGGGACTGTCAATATGTGCAGACCTGTCGGTCTGTCCTGTGTCTGGTGCCAGACATGCCATAGAGCGTCGTCTGCAGCTTGCCTCAGCGCGGGGGCGTCGGCCCCTACCACTTCGCGGAGGATGCGAAACCTTAGCCATGACTTGGGACTGTCAGTGCAGAGGTGCAGAATTACATATCCCAAAAGCATAGTCCTCAGTGTGGACAGAAGTTTGGGATGATAACAGGGATTCACGCAATAACTGAGTGATGATAACAGAATTCGGAACAAGAAGCATGACGGTATACAAGGGATGGTCGCCATTATTGTCATGTATTTTCAATCTCGATGCTACTAGGAATGGTGTGCACAGTCATCACTGTAGCACCCTGAAACAGGATCCCCAATATCCCCATACGTATCTCCATACCCCAAGCGACGAGCACCGTAAGCCTTACCAGCCCCCAAAACTGCAAAACCCCCGTTTCCGACTCAAACCCTGAGTAAAGCCATTTTTGTGATTGGACTTCAGTTGAACCATTTAAGGTTAGCTTGTTCGTGAAAACGTGACCACAAAAAACTGATGAAGCAATTATATACTCTATATTATCGGAAAATAGAGTATCCTCCTTAACACTCTATAATATGTAGGGAAATAGAGCATCCCCAATGAAACCTAAAAGTGCTACTCACATACAATTCCTCCACCTCAGATCCTGAAGCACTGAACCCTCCTAACCCTTGACCCTTCATCATGAGAGTCTCTGACAACTCAAGAATGTTGGGGCCTGAATATCCCTACGCTATAATGCTTAGGGTCTGGGGTTTAAGAAGAATCTGGGACCACAAGATTGGTATTGATCTATAGGTTTCTACATTGACTGAGCTATGGTCTAAACTCCTAGTATCCCCCTTTATATGACTTCCCCTTCATATCCCCCTCTAAGGAGTTAAGATTATAGCTCAAATCATCATAACCCATCCATCCCCCTAAACCCTAAATCCTTAAACCCTAAATCCTAAACCCTAAACCCTAAGCCCCAAATCCAAATCTATACGCGTGCCGACCGGGCAGCAGCGCATCCTCCGCGCCCGGAGTCGGCAGCGGTGGCGCCGCCAGATCTTTCAGCACCCCAATGGCCTCTATCCTTGGTCAAGGTATACAGTCTACACAGAGGATGTCTTGAGGAGTCTGTTATGTTTGTTGAATGATTGCGGGGTTTGTGATACGTTTTCTTCAATGTCTAGGGGCAGGGCGGGTTGCCTTGTGGGGTAGAGAGTTCCTGAGTTTGAGCAAATGTAAGGTTAGATCCAGCAACGATGTCTGGGGGCATTCAGGTAAAGGCTAAAGACACTGCAAGCCCAACACATGTCAAGGGTTTGGGGAGGAACGGCTTGGTTGGTGCAGTTAAGAATTCAGTGCTGTGTGGGTTGGGGTTTGGGGCTCGGAGTAAACACAGGGGCCTCGCGCTTTTGGGATCTGCGGTTTTGGATGACACGACTCAGGATCTGGGGTTTGTGGCATTCCTGGGCTTAGGGCGGACAAGCACTACTGCTGAGAAATCGTCGTGGTGGTGGTGGTGGTGGTGGTGGTGGTGGCGGCGGCGGTGGTGGTGGTGCTCCTCGTCGTCGTCGTTGGTGCTGTTGTTGCTGTTGTTCTTCTTGCTCTTGGTATGCTTATTGTTCTTATTATTGTGCTTGTTCTTGTTCATGTTGTTGTTGCTGCTGCTTGTTGGCCGCAAATAAACAGCAAAATGTTGGCCGCGAATAATCAGCAAAACACACTGTTCCAACAACTCCCAGAATCCTCGCTGGCAGCGGGTCTTGCACACCCAGCCTGGGTTGTGCTCGGGCAAGACTATTACAATGACAACTATCCGACTATAATCACTGCTATACAAAGCCGCGGTTGGCAGTCTGACAGTTGTCACTAATGCGCAGCTCTGTTCTTAAAGCATAGCTGCTCGCCCTCCTGCACGTCCTCCGCCAACTGCCATGGTTTTACAACAACACCACGGCGTCCCGATTTTCTTGCTAAGGCCCTTACGACTTCTTTCCTCCTTCCGGCACATCCTTTCCGTGCTTATAACCAGCCAGCATGTAAATCCAAGGGTTGACGTATTCTGCTAGGGGTTCTTATTGTAATGTAGTTACATGCCTCCCAGGATTTGAAACGAACATCCGAGAAGCAGGACAGTGTCGCAAGCAATTTGCAGCCGCTGCTGCTGCCGCCAGGCTAAGGCCGCCACAGGGTTGCCCTCCTCCTCCTGAGTCAGCGGAGGGATTTGGAGGCAAAAGGGTTTTGAGGGTTTTAGGGTTTAAGGTTTAAGGGTGTCGGAGTGTAGGGTTTAGCGATTAGGGTTTCGGGGTTGAAGGGTCTAAGGGATTAATGGGAATGTGTTAGAAGTAAGGTTGAGGGTTTCAAAGAATCAAGAGCCTTTTTCTCGGGGATCAGAATGGAAGTTACCAGTTGTGATTTTTCTGGCACAATGGTTCTATGGATCAAATGTGGGGGGGGGGGGGGCCCGAAATCTATACGTAAGGGGAATCGGTCGGCATAGTCTTGTCCTAAGGGTCCAAGTACCCGTATGCCTAAGGAAACATCTATACACCCACCCACTACCACAATAATACCCCTATTTCAGGTACTTTGGGCCCAAAGTCTGTAGTCTTTAGATTCTTGAACCCTTGCAGGCTGGGTTTTGGGGAACCGTCAAGAGGAATGTTCTGGGGGTTGTGAGGCATTCTCAATGAAAGTGCTTAATGTTGGCAATATATGGACATGTGGAGATTTTGTTGGACGCTTGTACACGTAGTTGAACGTTTCCAGGTTTCTTGCTTGAGCCCCTACACTGGAAGGAGGCACAACAAAAACGATTCCACGAACACAAGCCGGCTGCTTGCTTGAGAAGGATGTTGATCCTGCTAACCACTTCCTGATCACCAGATCTTTCCGCAAGCTGCTTGGTGGCCGTCAGGGTCTCGAATTTCTGGAAGATGTCGGTTTCAGACCCCACAGCCCTGGACACAGCATGGCCGCGCCGCCATCTGGAGCGGTTCCTCGCGCAATCCCTAAACCTTATAGTTACTATATTGGGGAAACACTACTGCTACTTACTATATAATAAACCCATCATGGTAATTTAATTTAAGTTCCTTATATCCTCATCATCAATCCCAAGCTCCACACCCAAGTCCTAAACACTGAACCCTATCAACCTGTTGTAGGCTCAAGTTCTGAGCCCTAAGGGATGCTACAGGGCTTCTGTAGCAGGGGTTCTATAGGGGGTTCTACAGGGATGCTACAGGGATTTCAAAGGGATGCTCTCGGGATTCTCTACTAAGCCCTCGACCCTAAACCCTACCTGTCCAACATCCTAGGAAAATGAAGGTTAACCTTTGGGTTTATACAGGCATTATAGTAACATAGTAGGTACCTTCAAAAAAGGTTAAAGGTTACCCACTGGACTACTAAGTCTAAAGCTATAGAGTCCAAGCGTGCCTTGCAGCTGCAAGGACCCCCAATCCCACAGAGGCGGCTGTGATGTCAGTCGGCCTTCGACTGGAGCATGCCTCTGCGTGCCGCTTAGGGTTTAGGGTTTAAGTTTTTAAGGGGATCTGGGGGTTTCCCCATACTTCGGCGGGAACCCCTATAATAAGGATGGTGGATTATTGTGTATGGGTGGGGGGTATGTTGGGGTCCTCTTACCCAGGGAATCTACCATTTGAGGCTTGAGGGGTGGCCTGAGGTTGTAGTTGTAGGGTTTAGGGGTTGAGGGTTTAGGGTTTACAGAGGGTTGAAGGTTTGGGATTAGGGTTTGGAGGGGGTGTAGGGCTTATAAGGTTGGGGTTGAAGCTTTGTTGTTGGGGTTGTGGGGTTCCAGGTTTAGGCCTTAAGGCGTACGGTGGAGTGGGCGGTATGGTAAGAGAATTCAGTGTTTAGGGTTTAGGGAAGTACCAGTATTTGCTATACCAGATTCTGCTTTATACTTTGCTGTGCTGTTCCTTTCTTCCATTCCCAATTGTGTCATACTTCATAGACCTGTAGACTCATTATACACTGTCGTTCTTGGAATTAAGGGCTCGTGAGGAAGAACCTTTGGATGTTCAGAACAGATCTGGTTTTGTTTTGATGGCTTCACATTTAGGAATTCGGGTTTGGATTTGGAATGCAAGGGCTTACAAAATACTAGTAGAAGGTTGGGGAAACTGCGATATGCTTTCCCGTCTCAGAGCATCAGATGAAATGTGAGGAGATTCATAAGGATCTTGATCCGTTGTACTGCTCTTACGAATTAAGCACCGGTGCTACATTCCTATCATTGCAACTACTTGCAATGTAGGTCCTCTTTGAACCAACCGGGACGTCTGTAAATTTTTCTCAAATCAAAATCAAGAAACCCTTTGCTGGCCCGACTGTCCAAGCTGGTTGGTGGGCGCAGGTGGTTCTCTCGTCGCGAGATGCACTGAATTGGAGAGGCTTAGCATCACCACCCTCACGGAAAATAGTTGCCCTCTTCAAATCTGGCTACGTTCGGCAACTCTGGTGGCTTGAGCAAATCTTGCCTGCGGTGAACAGCTCCAACAACGTGCCAAGACATTAACGATCTTCCGGGCAACAGCATCCCAACGCAATCCGGGTATCCATGGCTTGTCCGCTTTCGATTGAAGCAGAAACATCTTGCAACATTGCCAACTTTCAAATCTTGGCGTAGCTCAATCTGCATCCCTTCTTATCCCGTGTCGAAGTAAGCCCTGACATGAGCCATAGTCTAAA